CGAATTAACTATTAATATAAATTATATTTTCCGAGGACTATGAAAAAGGTCCTCGGAAGGTGTGTATGTCCTCGGAAGTAGGTATATATCTGTATTTTTGTCCTCGCAACATATAGCAATCCAAATACACACACACACACACACACAGACACACAGACACACTAATTGCAAAGACTCCCATTATGTGCTTCGCACATGGGAGTCAAAAAATACATTTAAAAAAAAATCTAATTTATGTTACATAATATACTTTTTATTTTCGCTGGAATTAATTTTCGCTGAAAAGACTTTTTAGGTGTTTTGTATGGAATTTATTTTCACTGATTTTTGATGAGTTGAATGTAAAATATATGAAAAAAAGTATATTCGCTGGATTTTATTTTTACTGAATAATTCCTTCAGCAAAAATAGCGAAATTAAATTCCACCCGTTTGTCAAAATATACTGATGTTTTTCAGCGAATAATTTTGAAGCCTGTCACAGCACAAAAAGACTATGTGAATCGACGCCGGAAATTGGATGGTACGACGACCCTTCAATTAGCGTCAAATATGCTTTGTCATTGATTGGCTGAAAGTCACATGATCGGAACACGACCTGGGTAACAGAACCATATTTGTCTGCATTATCAACAGGACCTCGCAAAAGAACCATACCTACATTTTCAATCTTTTTTAGCGCGACCGAGTGGGCGGGCGTTCGGTGATATTTCGGGGTTTGTGCGGTCGAAAATATAACGGAAATTGTCCGGTCGAATTCAACAAGCAGTCGCAAAAGCTAATACCATTTTTCTAACGCAATGGCGAAGAAAAGAAAGCGTTGACAGACACGGCAAAGAAAAATCTTCCACTCAGTGTCGCACTCTGAAACAGCAATTTTTTTTTCAAACATCGGCCATTTTGTTTCACCATGAAAACCGTTCTATTAGATCTCTTATCAGAGACACTTGAAGGATTAACTTGTTTGTAAACTGTCAGCGTGTACAGTGGGACAGTAATGTTTGTCAGAGGATTTTCCCTCGTTGTTCGTTTGCATAACAATGGAAACCCGAACGTTCCTGGAGTACGGACTCCAATGCCAGCAGTTTTCTTCATTTTTCACGCTCGAGCTTGAAATTATTCATTATCTGACACTCTTTATGAGTTCTATGATATCAGTGGTTAATATGTTTGACCATTTTTAGTGTATATTTATAATAATGCAGCAAATCTACAGTGTTTTATTATCCAAAACTGTTTTTCTCGAGTTGAAGTTTTGACTGAGTACGACCCATTGGAACCGCCACCAAATCAAGTGCGTTCGGACTAGGACATTCAAACTTGCAGTTATCGTTCAAAAGATAATGATGGTGCGAAATATGTCTGGGTTTTTAAAGAAAATGCTTTGTCACAGAATAATAGTCTGTTAAAGGTGCCAAGTATGAAATAATTTGGGGACAAAAAAACAAAACTGCATAGAAATCGGAATAATAGGTTTTTTGATTACCGGGGACACATTTCAATGGACTTGATTACGGACAATGCATGACGTAAATTTCACTAGGAAATTCCGCAGTGTGCTCTCGCAATCGCGGACTTAGTCATTTTTACAAGGTTCGCCATTTTTGATGTCACGTGATAATTATGTAAACAATGACTGTTCAGTTTGTGCGAACGTGTACCTCTATACTTAGTTTTGAAATATATAAGCTAAATTACTGTTCTGAACGAGACAACAGACAGAGAATGTTTTAATATTCGAAAACGTCACAAAACCTTTTCGCTACCTTAAAGCAAAAAGAACTTCTATAAATCAATCATTCTTACTAAAATTGCTAAGTTTCATCATTTTTCTGGGTGACAGTCCACCAGTTTTTCACAGAATAAAATCCCTTGTATATCAAATACTTGTATATTTATAAAGTACTATCAAAAAAGCATAAATTTGACAGTTGTTTATCAGTGGCCAAATACAAATAAATACTTTAAAACATCATCTTGCAATTTATTCACATCAAAATGAGATGAATATATGACCTCTCATAGACATTTAATTTTTTACGTGCCTCTGATTTGGAGATATGGTCCAAACTATCTCCTGAAACACAACATTCTGAGACTCATTTTCAAAGCTTATCATTAAAATGAGTTTATTGTGCATCGGAAAGTCCAGAGAAATGAGACAGACCAGTTCTATGGGCAGAGCTCACACATTCTGTGACTTTACAGGGAAACTCTGACCTAACATTTAAAAGACAAGGTTATGTATGATCTCACAAAACGTAGGATTTCATCTGGAACTTTTTAACTGACATTTCCGAAAGCTTTGATCCCTTTCGCTATAGGACATGTTAAGGATGCATGTCAATGTTTTCTAAGGTCTATTAGTCAATCTATTTACCATTTGTTTTTGTGGAGATAATCACTAAATTAATTCAACAAATTAAGTCATTGAAAATGACACAGTCCCTGTTAAATTTTTGAAAGTTCTCTTTGTGCTCGTCATATTAAAGTGAAGGGGTTATCGCGAGCGTGTCCTTGAAACTTGAGTTCCAAGTGGCGTATACAACAGATTGTTTATTTACATCAAAACATGTGTTCCATGTAGTAGTAATATGGCCAAAAATAAAATAAACGTTATTCGTCCATCTCTGATCTGATTATGAAACACACTGATATGTATGATGTATGTGCCAAATATGAATGAAAATGGTACATAAATTGTGGAAATATAGTAGTAAGGCCAAAAAATAAGATGGCTGTCAATCGGCCATCCTTGACCAGATTTTGTAACAAATTGTCATGGACATGCATTCTAACATGTATAAAGTACATGTATGTGCCAAATTTGAATGAAAACTGACAGAGCACGTCCAAGACACAACATAAAAAAAACAAAAACAAGATGCCGGCCAGTCGACCATCTTTGATCCAATTGCGAAATAAATCGTCATGGACATGTATCCTAACATATATGATCTATGTACTAAATTTGAATGAAAACTGACAAAGATTGTCCAAAATACAACATTTTCAAAAAACAAGATGGCTGCCAGTCGGCCATTTTGAATCGAATCGCTAAACCACTGCATGTGCATATGTCCCACATAAAGTACTAGACACATGCAAAGAATGAACGGAATCGGTCCAAGGGATTCTGAGATATGACTCCGGACAGACGCATGGACGCACTTTGTCCGAACGGGGACTAATAAATGTCTATACTTACTGCTTTGATGCCGCATATAACAGTTGTGTTTCCTAGTTTAACAAGTGCAGATCCCTCCGCTGTACTGATAGAACCTGTATGAATGAATTGACAGAAATACAGAATATACTAGCATAATAGTATGGGCTAAGATGACAGAGGTACACCAGAAATGTTCACTGCTACAAAATTAATTTAATTTTGTAACTCATGGCAACAATGTGAAAACACGAGGATAGTCAGATATTCAGGTAATATGCACATAAAAATGTATTATATTTAGTTTAATAATTGTAGGCAATTGTGAAACTACTATACCTATATTCACTATAGTGCTTCTGATTTCACCAAGTTCTCTTCCATCTGGACGAACATCTTTTTTCTGAAAAAATATACAACAGTTATACACAAATGTTATATATTGATATAATAGATTAAAGTTCTACAGCCCTTGCTCTGCATCGTGTTCAGTATGGTATCCTTAGCAATGTATACAATGCATTGCGCAATGACTGTAGTGATTTATACACAAATGTTATATATTGATATAATAGATTAAAGTTCTACAGCCATTCATCTTGAATTTTCAAGGTGAATGTTCCGGCGAAGCACTCCACTATCACCTTGAAGTATTTCATTAGGACTATGTGTATGTGACAATGCCCTCACAGTTTAGAATCAGTCTAACAACACAGCCAATCATATAACTTCTTTCTTCAACGCGCTTGGCCAAGCTATCAAAATCTTCGAGGCGGAGCTAAGTCACAAAACGCGCACCACTCTACCATGTATTTCTATGGACTCTGCACGAGCTGCTGTGCACTGACCAAAAAGCCGGTGAAAATAGCTAAAATCGAGAAAACAGCACAAACTTAACTTTTAAGAAATCCAACCAAATTTAAATATGTTTTACAACCATTCCAAAAATACCGTTTT